CTACAAGAGCAAGTTCCAGGACAGCCTCGAAAGCCACAGAGAAACCCTGTCTTGAAAAACAAAAACAAAAACAAACAAACAAACAAACAAAAAACAATAATAATAACAAATAAACACAATTTTCTTTCTGGATTCTTTGGTTATTTTTTCATACATATTTATTGTTTTCCTCTTAGACTAGATTCATCCATTAACTGTGGTTCTGTTGCACCTCACACAAAACGTAGCAGGATGTCATGGACACCACTGTGTGGTCAAGTGTATTCCTAGCACTCAGGAGGCTGAAGCCATCGATGGGGCAGACCCTCCAAACCATACAGGATAGTGCCATTGCTACTGGCTCCTCACTAGAACTTGGAAGTAAGACCTGGTTGCTGAAGATACCACATACTTGCATCATAGGACATGGAGAAATCAAGCTAGTACTGTCTGCAAGATCCAATCCTACTGGCTAGCTTTCACAGTGCTGGAAAGTGCTATAAAGTCTGCGGGAGAGGGAGAAGACAAACCATCAATGGTCTTTCCCAGCTGTGGACCCCACATGCAGTAATAATGAGCAGCCTGTTGAGATGTGCCCATTGGTGCAACAATGACATGAATATTTTGGGGGTAACCAGCAGCTTTCTGATCATATTTAAGGGCTGCTCTAGAGGATAGAACTCATGCCTATACTATAAACCTGGTCAAGAACCAATGGCTGGAGAGGTCACAGACCATAGGGGAGAACCTGCTACTAATTTTACTAAATGGACATATATCAAACTGCCATTACTATGGGTATAACGCTACATATAAACATACATGCATATAAAGGTACATACATATGTGATATTAGTGCAGCTCTCAGATCTCATCAGAGAATCCCCCCCTTTGCAGTGAATGATGGTTAATTACAGAATCACAACAGATAAAAGTGCAGGGGAAAAGTGAGGATGCAAAGCTCAGCCCTAAATCCTACATCTATATCACACCCTCCTCCCTGCAAGGCTCAGGGACCATCAAGGAAGGGGGTGGATATAAGGGCCAGTAGTCAGGGGGTACTGCTGAGAAACTCTGTCTTCTGCACAGGACAGGGTTGTTGCACAGCAGCTGAGGCTGCCCACACATGACCAAGTCAGCCCAACTTTCAGCATGATGGAGAAGCTTACTAGCCCCATCCCTTATTGAGGAGCTACTGGCAGTCGATGGTTGCTGGGAGACAGTTTTCGTCAAGGGTGTAGCTAGCCCCCGGTAGTGTGCCCATGCTCCTAGATGTCCCTACAACCATGCATGAGTGGCACTAGTTGGATTTAGTAGATTGGCATGCTGTTGAGCTGGGAGCTGGGAGGAGTTGAAGGGGACTTGGGGGTCAGTGTGATCTAAATACATGTTTGAAATCTTCAAAGAATAAAACATTTTTAAAAATTCTGTCATAATAATCATTGGAAACTTTGTGGAGATGAGCCCCAGAGGCTTAATTTAGAGGGGACTCTGGGTTGGTGGCACAGGGATGTAGATTTGTCATTAGGTCTGCTTAGGGAATAAACGAGGCTCTGAAAATGACAAAAGTGAATTAATGTAGAACCTAGGAACCGTGTTTCCAGTTACCTATCTGCGTACTGTTTAATAAAACAATTAAAAGGCCTTTCATATTTATTGTAACATTATTCTCACAGCCCTCTGAACTAAGGAAGGTGTTATCTTACAGAAGATGAGACCAGAGCCAGTAAGTGAACCTCTTCCTCTATAATGTGCTTTTAGGTTTTGGAGTCTTGTGTGCTAGGTGAGTAATGGTGGGTGGAGGGACGAATGAAAAGAGCAATAAAAATCTCCAACCGCGCCGGGCGTTGGTGGTGCACGCCTTTAATCCCAGCACTTGGGAGGTAGAAGCAGGTGGTTCTCTGTGAGTTTGAGGCCAGCCTGGTCTCCAGAGGGAGTGCCAGGATAGGCTCCAAAGCTACACAGAGAAACCCTGTCTCGAAAAACCAAAAAAAAAAAAACTCTCCAACAGCAGCCTGGAGGGAGTTAGGGTGAGCCGGCATGACTGAAGTTGGGGTCATAGACTTGGAGGTTGATGACCTTAAAGCACAGCTTCAATCAGCCAGTCTTAGGCATGGACTTGTAGCCTGCAGCACAGCCACTTGTCTCTGTAGGCTTTATCCTCACTTGTCTGGATTGTGCACAGTCCTTGGGGGAGATCTTCTATGCCGAGACCTCAGGCTGTCCCCCAATGAACTAGTTATGGAATGAATATGAATGGGGCAGGAGGGGTCGGGAAGCATCGGCGGCATTCTGAGTAGAGGAGATAAGACGGGGCATCAGTGTGGGATGCAGTACAAGGTGGGATGCTGGCAGGGATGTAAATGAAGATGCAGACATGGACAAGATCATGACAGTTTTCTGTCCTGTGAGATACTGAGTTATACATTGTAAGAAACATGAAACTATTGTAAAGGGTTAAACAAAACAGGGAATTTTAAGATTATTATTTCTAATGAGTACGAGTCCAGAGAGGCCAGAAGAGTGTATCAGATCCCCTGGAACTGGATTTACAGGTGGTTGTAAAGTTACAGGTTATGTGAGTGCTGAGAACTGACTTGGGTCCTCTGGGAGAGCAGCCGGTGCTCTTAACCATTGAGCCATCTCTCCAGCCCTATGGGAACTAATTTCTTTTCCAGAAGTTGCATGAAAGACACTGAGACCTAGTGGAGTTGAGTGTGTGGTGTCCAGGGAAAAGAAGAGGTTGAGCTGGGAAGGAAATATGCAAGGGAGGGACAGACTTGGGGAGAGTTTTAAATAAGACTCTGAGGGCTGCATGGCTTATGGATTCATGTTCATACTGAGCCCCCTGCCCATGAGCCAGGCAGTGGGCCAAAGCTCGAGATTGACATCGTAATGAGTTCTAATACCACTATGAGGTATAACATCCTATCCTTATGAACAGATGAGGCAGAAGCTTGGTAAACTCAAGTGATAGCACATGCCACCTAAACTTTGGAGCCAGAACTTGAGCCTTGATTTTACCATCCATCATGCCTTGTGGTTGATAGGAGACAGAGTAGCCTAGCACAGAAAACTGAGGAGGCATATACACGACTATGAGCATTAGTGCTAATATCAACTTGATAGATTGTGGAATCACCTGGGACATGAGATTGTGTGCATGCCTTTGGGGGCACAATCCTGATCCCAATAATAGAGGTGGAAAAATCCAGTGACTTTGGGCAGCACTGCTTTCTGACTGGGATGCTGGGCTGTATAAATGGAGAAAGGCATTGAGCAGCAACATGTGCACATTCATGTCTGCATTCTGACTGGATTCTATGTGACCAGCTGCTTCAAGACCCCACTGCCTTGACTTCCCCACCCCCATTGGGCTCTCCTTGATATATGAACTGGAATAAACCCTGCTCCCTGAAGCGGCTCTTGTCAAAGCTTCTTACCATAGCAACAGGAAAACAAAGACCTTGGAGACACAAAGAACTAAGTTTGAGGAGAATAGATTTAATTTTGGACTCTAGTTTGTGCAAGCCAGAAAGAGAAAGTCCAGAGGAGGCTGAAAATGAAGGACCACAGAGAGAACATTAATATGTCTCTCTCTGAGACCAGCTCCTCCTTCCCCTGAGTTCCACCGGATGCTCTGCCTTCTGACTCCCTTGTCTGCTGCTGAAGGTGAATAGGTTCTCCTAAGAGCAAGCCCAAGGAGCATTCAAGAAGCAGGAGGATAACCAATTTGAGGCCGGCCTGGGCTACACAGTGAGACCCCTGTCACCAAAGAAAGCCCCCAGATGTGCAAATGTGGAGAAGACCTACAGGGAGAAGAGGCTGAATGGCCTGCAGGAAGCAAGGGCTAGAGCAAGCAAGTTCCTGGGAGCTGGCTTGTTGACTTTGATGAAGATCCAGACATTTGATAAAAAGCTGAGGAACTTGCTAGCCCTTTCCACAGCAGGACAAGCTACCACAGACCAGCCAATACTAAGAATCTGATCCGGCCAGGTGGTTCACATTCTCTCAAGTTCCAGGCAATGCTATCAGAGCCAACCAGGCAACCTTGAGGCTCCAAAGGCAGCATGCAGAGACTTCTAGCAGGGCCCTGAACTGACAAGCCCTGAGCCACACCACAGTTGCAGGGTGTTGGCACAGTCAGCTAGGCATTGATGATGAGGACTGTGGGGAGCCCTTGTGGAGGTTCTTTGTTCTCAGCCTGTCATTTTGATAGGAGGTGTCTATGCACATGGCCCCCGGGGCTGGGAATGGGATGAGACAGTGGTGAACCCTTGATCAAAGGTAAACACTTTGTTCTTCAGTGGCAAGATGGTTCTTTCCTTCACACTTCACTGAAAGCAGGACCAGTGGGCCAGAGCAGACATCAGAGAAGGCCCAGGGACTCAGGGGTTTCTGGCCAGGAGGTTGGAACAAAGTGTTCTGAGGACATCAGAGAGAAGACCAGACAGCAATGTATCTTTCCTCCTACCCATCTAGCCCACTTACCACAGGGCTTCTCAAACCCAGGGGACGCTCCCTCCTTCCAGACTCCATCCAGAAACCCTTTAAGCCTCAACCCACCTGTAGGCTATAAGAAGCCTTAGGCTAGATGCGTCCCTGCCTCCCACTCCCCTCCCTTTCTTCCTACAGAGCATTCAGGGACTGGCCCAACCGCCTGCTCTCCATTCCTTCTGTATTTACCATAAGGGGTTCCTGGAACAGGAGCATCCTGAGGCATCTCTCACCCAAGAACCAGCTGGACCTTTGATTCCGTGCTGCAGCCCAAGGACTGGGTGAGACTGAGACATGGTGGTGAACCACAGCAGAGGAGGGTTGGCTGGGGATGGCTGGTCTGAGGGGTGGCCTTGAGCAAGTGCCTCATCTCTCTGGAGTACTAGGGTTTAAGTTACTGGGCAGTTCTTAGAGAGTAAGGGAGGCACATAGGAAAAGCTGGAGAATACTGGAGGCTCGGGGAAGGGTGGACCGTCTCTGGGACTAATGTTCCTCTCATTATCTTAACTCTGCCAGCAGAAGGCATGGCACTAGGTGCGGCCTGGCTCCTTGTCCTCCAGCTTGTCTTACGGCCAACTCTGGTGATAGGCATCAAGATGGAGATCGCCATCAAGAACTTCCGCACCTTACACGTTGACTACCCCATGATTCACTACCCAAAGGGTTTCCTCGGGTATTGTAATGGCCTCATGGCCTATGTGAGGGGCAGACTGCAGGACTGGTACTGCCCTAAGATCCACTATGTGGTCCATGCCCCCTGGGAAGGCATCCGGAAGTTCTGCAAATATAGCGAGAGCTTCTGCGAGAACTACAATGAGTACTGTACCCTCACTCAGAATTCCTTCCCCATCACAGTCTGTACCTTGGGCTCTAAACAGCCACCAACCAGCTGCAGCTACAACAGCACACTGACCAACCAGAGGCTGTACCTGCTCTGCTCCAGCAAGCATAATGCCGAGCCGATAGGTATCATCGGCCTCTACTAGGAACTTCACTCGCAAACCAGGCCCGCCTCGCACAGGCCTCCACATGCCACCCCAAAGCCTGTTCCCAAAGCCAGAACTGACTTCTGAGGCAGAGCCCTGCCCTCCTTCAGGTTCTTTTCACCTTCCCATCACCGCCACCATAGCTTCCCTCTCCCAGCGACAGGAAAACCCACCCAAGAAGCTGATGGTGTCCAGCTGGCAGGGCTTGTCTATCTACTGGGCCAGATCCCAACGTCTGGATGGAGGCCCAGGCCCCAGCTCACACCATAGCAACAGGCACCCAGTTCCAGTATTTCTCCCTATCCCTGTTTTTAGTGTCGGTCTCTCCCATTTCCCTTATAATTCATGCCACTCTTCAGCAAAAGGAACTTCCCTACGACCCGACCCTTAGGCCCATTTTGTCTCATCCTCCCCGCACCCCGCCTCTTCTTCCTCCAGCCTGCACTTCTCTGTGGTTTTCCCTTCCATTTCATATCTCTTCTTCCCCACCATGGAGTCTAGTGCTCTTTCCCCCTACTCTCCCAGCCACTCATAGCCATGCTGCCTACCTTTTCCCAGCCTGTCTCCCATCCTTCTCTTGCCTAGGTGCACCAGAATTTCAAGTTATCTTTTTTGTTCCTCCCACGGTCCCTCAGTCCCCCTTTCCTCCCTCATCTCTGCCCACCATTTCCCAGATCCCAGGGCCTATGCCACTCAGGTGGCAGATGATGAGGCAGGCCCAATTTCCAGTCATGGAAGGTGTAAAAACCATTGAGGGAAACTGGGCAAAAGGTTCAGGAGCTCCTTTCTGTATTGACTTCTTGTGGATCTGCCATAATTTGCAAGTAAAAAGTTAAAAACCATCCAACTCAATTGTGATTTAATTCCCTTCCCTGCTTTTGGTATCACCCATCTCTGACCATCCTTCAGAACTACTCTAAGCATTTGGACATCTCTTCTGTTCCGTGGGCATGGCGATGGAGGCGGGGGCAGGTGGAGACCTTCAATCCTAGCAGTTGTCTCTGTGAGTTCAAGGCTAGCCTGACCTAGAGTTCCAGGCCTCCAAGCCAGCCAGGGCTTCACAGTGAGACACCTGTCTCAAAAGTCAAACCAATCAACTACTAACAAAACAAACAAACAAACAAACATTCTCTTTCCCCAGCTGGAAAATAGATTTGTGATTTGTAACAGTGTTAGGCTTCCCTTCTTGGTTTTTAACTATCCAACAAAACTTGGATTCTAACAGATGAGCAAGTTGGGAGACACATTAAAGGTTCTACTAAGTGATTATCTGGGTCATGGTATGTCAAATAAAGAACTATGACTCCCTTTGGGGGGAATAGAAGGAACCGAGGCCACTGATGTGCAAACACAGCAAGCAAATGTTTTTTCTTGTGCATCTGATTTAACTCTTACCTCCAAATGTATTCTCCAGCCCTGTTCTCAGGAGCGGTTGCCAAGGAGACTACTACATTATGGCTGGTATGCATGAGGCTTAGGAGGGGAAAAGGTCCATGGCTGAAAACCCTGGCTCCTTGGGCTTTCTCTCCTCCCCTTCTCTGTCTATGGTCCTCATACTCATGAGATAGAATTCACTGGGTGCTGCACACACGAAGTTTATTATTCCCTACATTTCCCGGGATTAAAAACACAAGGCCAGGAAACTAGCAGGTGAAGCCAGCTCCTCTTTATTTGCTTTTTTGGTCATAGGTGCCAGCCCCCTTGTAGCCACTCACGTAGCCTGAGTTGTCTGTGGTGTCTTCCCGTCCTTCAATGCCTTTTCCCTTGCCACTCTCATCAAAGCGTTCCTTGTGAGTTCCAGTGTACTTACTGGTGTCTGTCAACCGGTCTACTCCACCCACTGTTGTTGCTTTCTGCAGGCCAAGGGGAGGGGGGATGTTTGAGCCTTCTTCCCTTCCCGGCTATCACAGCCCCCCCCACACACACACACACATGGTCTTAGAGCCTTATGGCACATGCTGGGAGTGTTCCCTCTGCCTCTGGCTTGGTGCTGCTTCCTGAGGCCCAGACACAGCTATGGGCAGGAACTCTGACAGAGCCATCGACTCATGACATAGGAGGGTTCTGCTGTGGGAAAGGACAGTTGGGTTTCTCTGTATCCAGAGGAGTTATTCAGATCAGGCTACTGCCAGAGGGCTTCAGGCACAAGCCCTGCCCCAGTGTGCGGTGTGTACAGAGGCAACAGTTTAGGAAGAAGAGGGGTGAGAGGCAGGAGTTCTGAGATTATGTAGGAAGAGGACTGGGGGAGCAGGCACCAAATTCCTCCAATGCTAATGTGCCTCTGAAGCCTCACAAGACTGAGGTGTCTAGACCAGACATGAGACTTGACAGCGAGTCTAAATAGCTCTAGTGAAATAGCTATGCTGTGGCTAACAGTGTAGCTGGAAGCTCCAGTTGCACCTGGAGTAAGCCCCCTTTCCACACTACAGTTCTCTCACCTCCCGAACGACTACAAGGGTTCTAAAATCTTCCAGTACAGGCTTTCCACCCTGTCTCTGGAGTTAGGATGCTGATAGGATTTGGGACAGGGACTAGAGCAGTGGAGTCTAAGGAAGTGGAGCTCCAGGGTGGAGATGAAGATGGCTGTTAAGGCAGGTGTGGCAGCACACACCTGTAATCCTAGCACTCGGGAGGCGGAAGTATGAAGATCTTCAATTCAAAACTAGCCTGGATCACACAGCCGGTTCCAGACCAGTCTAAGCTAACAGAGTAAGGTCCCGCTAGATAGAAAGACAGGCAGACAGGAAAGAAGAAAGGACAGAAGGAAGGAAGGAAAAAGGGAAAGAAGGGAAAAGATCAGACAAAAATTAAGACCGTTACTCACAGTAACACCAGTGGTGGCAGGGTCCTTGCCTTCCATGAGTTTAAAAACATTCTCCAATGCCTCGTCTACGCTCTTCCCTTTGAACCGCTTTTGGCCCAGCTCCTTCATCGCCTCTTGAAACTGTTGAAAGTTGATGGTCCTGGCATTCTTGGCCCTGGCCAGACAGACAGAGATCCAGTAACTGTGCAATGTGAAGTCATTGCCTCCCAACATCCACCTTTTCCTTAGTCAGATATGGCCTCTTTTATCCTGCCAGTGAATCTTGAGAATAGGGAGCAGGACAGTGCCTGGCACCTGCCAGATGCTTCTTATAAATCTTCCATCATAGGAACTGTGCCATCTGTCCAGGTGGTGGTGGTGCACACCTTTAATTCCAGTACTTGGGAGACAGAGGCAGGCAGATCTCTGAGTTCAAGGCCAGCCTGGTCTACAGAACAATTTCCAGGAGAGCCAGGGCTACACAGAGAAACCCTGTCTTGAAAAACAATAACAACAACAAAAACAACAAGCCCAAAGTATAACCACAAGAACTGTGCTGTGACCAACTACCTTTTCACTTCACTCCCCACCTTTGGCCCCTTACTTCACTTTGCTGAACACAATGTCCACATCTGTGGAGGTCACCGCCTTGCCATCCATGATGTCACAGTCTTTACAGAGTTTGGAGAAGTTCTTGTTGTTAATCTCAGTGCCACTGCTGGATGAGTCCCCAAAGACAGCAAACCGATGGAATGTTTTTTCTGCTTCCGAGGCCATTTCCGGGCTGCTCACCCTTCCATCCCACTGCTGCAGCTACAGCCCGAGCCTTCCCTCCCCAGCTCTGTGGATACTAGTGTCAAGCTTAAACTCCTATGCATTAGCAATCCTCCCTCCCTACCACTTTCACGTACCTGGTACCTAGATGGAGCCTGTAATTTTGTATGTAAGTGTGTGCAGCTATGTGGGAGCCACACGGCTGGGGAGAAGGTGTGGTAACAGGGAGACAAAAATGGGCAAAGGCAGCAGAAAAGAAACACTGTGGTGTCACAATGTTATATGACATCACCTCCAGGCTCTGGCTTGGTTTCCCTGCTGTCTTCCCTTCTGGCATCAGAAGCAGAAGTTGACACATCAATTTCCTACCTTTAGACAGTTGTCCAGCCACAGCATCGAAATGAGCAAAGAGCTTCAGGCTGGGTAATGACTGTGGAATCATGGGTGGCAAGACATGATCTTTGTACCAAGCAAGCTGCCAGGCTGTTGGCATTTTCAGATGGTCAAACTCCCCTGATCACATCAGCTCAGTTTACTAGTCTTACAGGTTCTGGCCTCATGGTGTCCTCACGTGGGTGAGCTCCCTTGGCTATAAAGGTACTAATCTAACTCCTGAAACATCATCGTGAGCACCCCCAAGTCCACTTCTTAATACCACCATGTTGAGAGGTAGGATTTAGCATGTATATTATGGGGAGACCCAACCACTGAAGCATTCGGGATTGAGGAGAACAGGCCGGCTTGAGTTAGCGTGCCCTCCCGGAGGGTCTAGGTCTACTGACCAGCATGCAGAATCCCACTGGTTGTGGAAAACCACACACAGCAGGGATTTGAAAGGGCTTCTACTGTTGACTCAGGAGGGGAAAAGCAGAGAACCTGCAGTATAATAGCTCTATATAAAAGCAGTGTGAAATGTACCAGAGGGTATGTCTCAGAGTCGAAAAATCCCCCAGATAAGTTTCTGAGCAGTTCCAAATGTCCCTTAATGGTCCCTTTCTGGACAAAAGCTTTGTAAGAGACATGAGCTTTTGGGATCCCATTGTAGGGATTGGTCACTTTCTTGTCTTAGATAATCAGACCTTAATTCCTATAAACAGTTTGTAATCTTATAAATTCATTACAGTTCAGGGGTAGGGGTGGCGGTGGTGTGTCGGTGAATACCTTTAATTCAGTACTTGGGAAGTAGAGGCAGGTTGATCTCTGAGTTTGAGGCCAGCCTGGTCTACAAATAAATAAGTAAATTTCTTTCTATTCCTATTCCTGCATCCTTAACTGAGGTCTTTTTCAAATTAATTTTCAATGTATGGGTGATGGGGGAGGTAGTTAGGGCTTAGTTTCCTATTGTTTAAGGTTGGGTTTGGAAGGAGGTGTTCAAGCTTGGACATCTCTTTCGGATGACTTTAAGGTTTACTTGGAATAGTTATAGTTAAGATGTGACATTAGTAGATTATTATAACTTCATGTAATTCACCCTTATGATGTTAATGATAGATAATTTACAATGTTAGGTTTTAATCTTTTAGACTAAAAGGGGAATTGTAGGGGAAATGTTAGCCACGCCCTCTTGGGGACTGGCACAGGCGACACAGACCATGCACACTAGGGCATGGTCAGTGACATAGCAAGACCTTAAATATGAGAGTCACATGCAGGCGGCTCTCTCTGTTCCATGGTTCACCTGGTAGAGGACTGACTCCGTTGCATGAGTACTCTCCTATTAAAACATCTGTTCATCAAAAAAAAAAAAAAAAAAGAGAGAGACTTTTATTTTTTTTTTTTCGTTTTTTAAGATAGGGTTTCTCTGTGTAGCTTTTGAGCCTATCCTGGTACTCGTTCTGGAGACCAAGCTGGCCTCAAACTCAGAGATCAGCCTGCCTTTGCCTCCCGAGTGCTGGGATTAAAGGTGTGTGCCACCAACGCCTGGCAAAATAAGAGACTTATTGTTACAGAATGGTGTCACTGAGTGGGATCACCCCACGGCCCGAGGTTCACAGAGAAAGAGGGGAACCTGCTGCCATGAGCTGCCTGGAGCCACAAGCCGCCAGGTGCGGTGAGTCACCTTCCTGAGGCTAGTCAAGCGGTGGCAGAACCCAGGCAGCTGGCGGTAGTGTTACGAACTTCCATGTAAACTTCACAAAAGCTTAAAAAGGGATTTTAGCAGCAAAGGAACAGAGATAAGCACAACTTCTTGGTAGCAGCATTTTCTCAGGTGGTCTCTGTTTGCTAGAGACAAGCAGAGACTCGAGCGGTTTCCTTAGGAGAGGTTTCTTGACTCAGCCTAAGGGGGGAAACCGCAGGGCTTCCTTTTAAGATGCCAGGCTAGCTTAGTCGGTAGAGCATGAGACTCTTAATCTCAGAGTTGTGGGTTTGTGCCCCACACAGCTGGCAGTGGCAGTGACCACATCTCCAAGCCAGCAGCATGTTCCTTGGAAGACAGCAGCTAAGAAAGCCGCCACTTTAATTTTGGTGGTGTTGTTTACAAGATAAAAGACTGAGAAGCCAGAGAAAGGTAAAGATTTACAGTAAAGACAGATTCAGATGAAGAAAAAAAAAATGTGTAGGCTTGTGAGAGAAAAAGTAACCGGAGGAAATAGAGTAGCTGGGTGTGGTGGCACACACCTTTAATCCCAGCACTCCAGAAACAGAGGCAAAAAATAGAGTAGTTGGGCAGTGGTAGCACACACCTTTAATCCCAGTACTCCAAAAGCAGAGGCAGGCAGATTTCCACAGAGAAACCCTGTCTCAGGAAAAAAGAAACAAAGGGAATTAAAAATAGAATAATGGAAAAACCACGTAAAGGTGGAAAATACACAGAGAGTCTGGAAACTATATGCTATATTGTTGTCTTTAAATTGATTGCTGAGCAAAGAGTTACTGCTAAAATACATTTGATTATAAATGCTGCTGAATTAATCCAACTTACACATCTTAACAATGCTTTGACTTCAAAGTTTAAGTCTAAGGACAGGCTACTTGGGAAAA